GCTCAAATTTTATCTCCACTTTCGAAGCCGTTCCCTGTTCTTTCAGGCAAAGAGCATACTTTTTTTCTCTTTGTACATAACTCCACTAGAGTACTTTCTATAGCAGTTAGTTTTTTTAAAACACTATTCTTATTTATTTTAATCCTCACCCAAAGATATTTTTCCATTGATTTTTAGAGATAGTGGAAGAGAGTGGGAAAGACAGAGAGAAATATCAATTGGTTGCCTCCTGCATACGCCCTGACTAGGGCCTGGGCTGGGGAGGAGCCCGCAACCGAGGCACGTGCCCTTGACGGGAACTGAACCCGGGACCTTTCAGTCCTCAGGCCGACACTCTATCCACTGAGCCAAACCAGCCAGGGCTATAGCAATTATTTTTTCACATATCAGTTACCTAACTGAACAAAGTCTAGTATTATTTTAGTACTGGGCCTAGCATCTATAATAAAAGTATAATAGGCTAATTAGACCAGACATCCTTCCGGACAAAGCAGGGGTTGCAAGGGCCGAGCCCCTTGCATGAATTTCATGCATTGGGCCTCTAATTAAAAATATTTGTTGAAAAAAAGGAACAACTCTTAGTCCAGAACTGGCAATTATAAGAAGAAAACCTAAGTTTGAACAAAAAGGTGAAAGAGACCCCTCCCTCCCAAAAAAGAAGTTCTCTAGTTACCGATAAACGGTAGATAAAAATACTAAACTGAAGACCCGAGGGGGGAAAAAATAAAGGCCAAACACATAAATCATTTCCACCTAGCTAAGGTTAGAAAGATAGGGGTACTAGATAATAATGAAAATATTTAATAGAGAAATAAATTATTTAGAATTTCACAGAGAAATGTGGAGGTAGAAGAGGGCTAACCCAAAATAGCCCTTAAAAATAAAACATGTCACCCTGGCTGGGTGGCTCAGTTGGTTGGAGTGTCGTTCCATACATACATCAAAAGGTTGTGGGTTCAATTACCGGTCAAAGCACATACCTAGATTGTAGTACAATTCCTGCTCAGGGCATGTATGGGAGACAACCAATTGATGTCTCTCTCTCTCACATTGATGTTTCTCTCCCCCTCTTCCTCCCTTCCTCTTGCTCTCCAAAATCAATGAAAAAACATATCCTCGCGTGAGGATTAAAAACAAAAACAAAAGATGTTCTCTCAGATAGGCATACTCAAATTAGACACAAATTAGTTGTATACATAAAATGCTCATGAAATAGATTGTTTTCATTAAGAAGAAAGCACTATAAAACATACCATCATCCCCTTCTAATCCCATCCCCCAAAGAAACTCAAATACAGTGGGGCCTTGACTTACGAGTGTCCCGACTAATGAGTTTTTCGAGATACGAGCCGTCTCTCGGCCGATTTTTTGCTTTGAGTTGTGAGGTAAAATTTGGGTTACGAGCCAGCTTCAGATACCCCACCGCTAGTTGGCGCAGCGAACGTCACAGTGAACGCCACAACATCAGCCCAGCATCACGTGTCTCACTCGTTCAAAATTGATTTGACATACGAGTAATTTGAGTTACGAGCTCCGTCACGAAATGAATTAAACTCGTAAGTCAAGACTCCACTGTACGTAGAATTCAATCATTAGAAAACCTGGCTCAAAAGGGAACTCTCAAAAACCAGCCCAGTATGATAACAGAAGGAATGAAGTTATTAAAATTAAACTCAACACAATGGGAACTCTCCCTCCTAGGAGCACAACTGCGCCTTCCCCCTCTCCCTCCCTTCCCCCAGGCCTGTTACCTTTGCCCCTCTCTCTCCTAAGCTCTAAGGGCCACTTCTTTCACCTCTGTAACTTGTTTCCTGAGCCCATTTTTTCTACCACTCACTTCTACCTCTGTGATGTCCTAAATAAAATTTCTCTTATTAAAATAAAAACAACACAATGAACTTAAATAGATTTTAATTCTTCTTAGAAAATTATGTTTTATAGACCTGTTGCACTATTAAAAAGAAATGAAGAACCTAAAAAGCAATTTTTATAAGCAAATATATGCTTGAGGGAAAACATAAAAATATTCAAGATAATGCCTACCACATGTATATTTCAATGTAAAATAAACACTTAATGTAAAATGGCTCAGTTACTAATACTTTGACCGGTTCATGACCAACAAAAGTAACACTAGAGTGGTGGCTCTGAAGTTTTTTTGGGGTCACAGACCTCTCTGAAACTCCAATGAGAGCTATGATCCTGTCCTGAAGAAAAACATGCAAATACACATATATACCTAGCATTTTAAATATGTCATAGCAATCACAGAGCCATGGAACTCAGTTGTAGAACTGATGACTTAATGAACAGAAATAGCAAACAAATGTAAGACTCCTCAGAAAAGAAAAGAAACTTAATAATAAGTAACAACTCTAGAGATTTTTTCTCAGTCATACAATCAAAAATACCGAATATAAAAATCTCTATTGGCTGGATTTTATCAAGTGATATACACCCAAATAGAGCATGAACATGCCTTAAAATAACCTTGAAACCTAAAGTGTTTAAAAATAATATCTATTATTAATATTAGTAATAGTTATTGAGCATTTATTAAATACTGTATTGTCTTAAGTTTTAAATATACTTATGTTTATACATAAATGTAAATCATTGTTATTCTCATTTCACTAATACGGAAATTAAAGTACAGAAAAGTACAAAGAATGTCAAATAACAGTGACACAAAACAGAAATGATTAATGAGATTAAGAAGCAAAAAATTCCCTGATAGTGTATACCATCTAATAGCAACTTAGACCTATATTTGGGTTAGCACAGTTCTACAAAGCAGAACACATTGTCCAAACTCCAGAAGAAGGATGACAATCTTGATCCCTTTCCATTCCTGGCAAGATAACCCTTATACCAGCGGTCACCAACAGGTGGTCCTCGGACCACTGGTGGTCCATGAGGTCCGAAAGGTTGGCAACCGCTGCCTTATACCATATTCACTTTGAAGTATACTGTAACCAGAAATGTGAACAAAAAAATGTTCAAAAAGAGTATAACACAAAGTAAAGGGTTTATAAGATTAACAACGGAAGATTAATTCTGAGGATAACAAAACTTAGCTTTCTAAATTACTATCTTTTGTGTACCAGCAACAAATCATGCTTTGGAAAAATTAGCAATATAATAAGATGTAAAAATTCTGAAATAGAGCACCTTATTCTACAGGGGAAGTTCAAGCTCCACTATCTCAAACTTTCTTCAAGGTTCTGCCTCCTTCTTGCCATCTTGGTTCCATGTCTCTTCCATTCCAGGATAATCACAAAGGTAGAGAAAATCTTGCAGGTTCAATAGGTCTTACTAAATCCCATCAATCACAAGACAAATTTCAGATTCCCTGGATGTGCCTATGCTATGCCCTGCACAATGTTGCATACAATAAACATCTGCTGAATGGTCAAATCTTCTCCATGAGAAAATGTCTGTGTTTTTAAAAAACATGTCTTTATTGATTTTAGAGAGAGAAAAGGGAGAGGAAGAGAGGGAGGGAGAGAAAGAGGAGGAAAGAGGAACTGAGGGAGAGAGAGACATCAATGTGAGAAACATCAATGAGTTGCCTCTTGCACGTACCCCAACCCAGGACCAAACCTGAACCCACAACCTGGGTACGTGCCCTAATTGAACCAGTGACCTTTTGGTGCATGGGAAGATGCTCAACCAACTAAGCCACACCAGCCAGGGCAGAAAATGCATATATTTAATATTTTCTACCTCCCGTAATATTACATTACAAATTACAATAGCATCAGAATAATGCAATAAAGCAATTCTTTTATGTTAAATCACATTACTGAAAAGTTTTAATTTACCATTTTTTAGATTCTATGTCCAAAAGAAAAAAAGAAAAAGACTAATTTTTAAAATTCAATTTATGCAGTTATTAGTAAACCAAGACACTACAAAAATTTTATCTGAGCATATTCCTTTTTTAAAACAATGATGTTCTTAATATACTATAATTTGTATAGCTTTCTTTGTAATGTTTAATGAAGATACGACAAAATCATGGATCTTTTCCTTTATATCAACAAAAAACTTTTTGATACATATGAGAAATCAGTTCCACTAAATAGGTGGCTTGCTGCTTCAATAGCAATATTCTAGATTCAGTAAAGGTTAAAAACCAAGAAACTATGAAAATAAACATATATTCATATATATATGCCGCAAAAAAGTTCCCTCTATATTTAACTCACAAGCTGAAACACTTGCTCCTAAGTCACTGAACTCATAAAATATCTCATACCAAACACACAAAATTGAACTATATTTTACACAGAGCTTCCTGGAAGTCAATACCAATTTTAAAAAGTTAATCTCTGCATTACACAGGCCCTCTTAGCATAGAAAGAATATAAGAACAAAACTTCAGACTAAAATATTCCCTAATTTCAAGCAGCATTAAAAAAAAAAAAAAAAAGTTATAGCCCTAACTGGTTTGGCTCAGTGGATAGAGCGTTGGCCTGTGAACTCAAGGGTCCCAGGTTCGATTCCGGTCAAGGGCATGTATCTTGGTTGCGGGCACATTCCCAGTAGGGGGTGTGTAGGACGCAGTTGTTCGATGTTTCTCTCTCATCAATGTTTCTAACTTTCTATCCCTCTCCCTTCCTCTCTGTAAAAAATCAATAAAATATATATTTTTTAAAAAGTTATAGCTGCTGAATATCAATTTACCAAAACAGGCAAGGATGACTTTATCCTAGCAAAACTCAGAATACTGTTTTTTCAACATCCTAGAAGACAGCTTGGTGTACCACACTTTTCCATCTGCTTTGTTCTATTTCTTTATACCCCAAGTAGAAATTAAACGGTTCAAATAACACCCAAAATTCATCAATCACGGTAAAAAGAAGTAGCATGATATGAATAACAGAGGTAGAACAATAGATGGAACAGCCTTGGTAATGACCTTAGAGTGCATGTCGAGACAGAAAATCTATTCAACATGTACAGGAATCACATTAAATAATTCTATTCTCACTTACCTGCAGAGCTCTCAGTAAATACTGTTAATGTTTGTCCTCCAACACTTTGCAAGACAAATGGGTGTTCTCTAGGAGCGCTGACTGAAGCTGGTTTTCCACCAATATCATGAATATTTGCAAGATCCTCATTCAAAGTAAATGACACCTAATAGACACATTAAGTAAAGCTTATTACAACAGACTTTTGTATTCAAAAGTACAGAAATTCTGATAAGTCAAATAATTTTTTTAAATGTGAATTTCTTCTAGTCATTTAAGCATTTTTTAAACTTCATCTAAAATTTTAATACTTAAGTCATAAAAAGAGACTTCCCACTTGTCAGAATAATGGGGCTAATCTACCATTATAAATACAAATAGCTTTCACATGTTTTCTCTGGTCTATAGCTGAAGAAATTCTATTTCCAAAATAGGAATATAATGTTTACCCCTAAGTTCTTTGAGGTCAAGAGACCATGCCTTGTTATATTTATATCCTTAAAATATATACATCTCCTAGACAGTGCCTGGCACAGAGAAGGAAAACAGTATTTGCTGAATGAGTGAATATTTAAAGTAAATTAAGAAAGCAATTGTACTTAGAGGGGGAAAAGTGAGCTACTTAGAAAGCTTAAACATTCCAATAAACAGAGGATACATTTCTTTTGTAGGTCTTAATAACTACTGTGATTACATGGTGCTGTTTTATTTTTGAATACTTTAATAAGTTCAACTGAATATTGACAAGGATAATTTAATGTTGAGGGTTAGAAAAAAAAAAACATAGTACATTCTTCCAAAATGATTTTTACTACATACTAGATCTCACCAAAAGAATATCAAATATTACATCGGAGAGTTTTATAAACATAAAATACTGATCTCCCAACCACGGAGGAAGATTATGGAGTATTTATTAAATATCTCTCTGCTTTCTGCTAGGTACTGAAAATTATAACCTGGACTTAATGGGTCAAAATCTAAAGCCCTCAAAGATCCAAATCAAATGCCTCTGCCACACTGAAATAATGTTAAACTATTACTGAAGTAATACTAACTTTTGTAAATACTGAGAGGGGATATTTTAGGTCAAAGTAGAAAAATGCTAAGAAGGAACAACTAGAAAGGAGCCCACTCATTCACACACGAGTGGTGTTTATACTACTATGTGTTCCTGACCATTAGCTACTAGTTTGATGTGGAGTTTTCCAGAATACAAACACCACCCTCTCTTTGCTATTACTAATGCACAGTAAAATAATCTCATGGTTTAAATAAAGTTTAAACAGAAATAATCTTACCTCAGTCCTTCCTTGATTCCTTAAAGAGAAAAAAGGAAAAAATTTTTAATTACTTAAATTTCATGTTTTTTCTTCCAAATTTATGCTGAAAATTTAAAGAAATAACACTACTGCATATTTCCATAAACTGTTATATTTACAGAGCTTAATATTTACCCATGGCTCTCCTCAACTATCCTATCTGTAATTCTATAAGAAAAACAAGTCTCATTAACCCCATATGAGTATTTTATTAGAACTTTGTGTCACTTAACACTATTACAACCTGCCCTGATAATATGTTATCCAAATAATGATCTAATTACAATTCTTATCTTTATTTCTGAGAATTTTTTAGCATTCAGCAGCATGTGAATATATGTTTAATACATATATGTTATTACTATTTATTTTGTCTAGGTGAAGATGTTTCATTTACCTAATAAAACCTTAAAGATCAAAATTAAATTTAACAATATTTTAAAATTACAAGCAATTTTCTACACTATAAAAACAATATATGGCCTGGTTTGTGTGGCTCAGTGGTTGAGCATCAAGCCATGCATGAAGAGGTCAGATATTCGATTCTGGGTCAGGGCACATGCCCAGGTTGCAGGCTTGATCCCTAGTAGGGGGCATGCATGAGGCAGCCAATTGATGATGTTTCTCTCTCATTGATGTTTCTATCTCTCTCTTCTTCTCTTTCTATTAAAAATCAATAAAAACATTAAAAAAGAAAACACCAAACAATATATGCCCATACATAAACATACAGACAAGTCAAAAGGAAGTTTTAAAATAGCCATAATTCCACTGTTAACATCTTGGTACAATAAATATCCTTCCAGACTATTTATGTGAATGACATGTTTTTAAATGTCTTTTTTACAAATCTGAAATCAATGCAGACTTTACGTAAGAGCCTAATTTTAAAAAACATGTATTAAATTCCTACTATATGCAAAATCCTAATATATAAAAACCCAGGGGTCGTCATGTCCTGAACGACTGAACAGGAGGCTGCGTGGGGCCACCAGGCCGGCAGGGGGGGCAGTGAGGGACAACCAAATGACTGGGCCCTGGGTCCTGGCTGGGCCGGCGGCTGAAGGGAGCTCTGGGCCCTGGCTGGGACGCTGTGGAACTGCAATGGGGGCGTGGCCGGCCTTCAAACTCAGGGCCCAGAGCTCCCTGTCGCCATCAGGGCTCAGAATTCCCTCTGGCTGGGGCGAGGCGGCAGAAGGGAGGTCTGGGCGCGGCCGGGACGGCTGAACTCTGGGTCTCCCGCCATCCAAGAGAGGCCGGCCTTCAAACCTGGGGCCCAGAGCTCCCTGCAGAAAGTGCTTCTGTTTGTTTAGTCCATTGGTTTTAAATCAGATTACACTCCCACAAACAGGGTAAGAGAAAACTGTTCAACGCGCCTTCGGCAAAACACAAACTCTTGCTGAACTTGAGGGACCCCTTCCCGGCATAGGTGTCTTTGCGCTTTTCAGGGCACTTTTGAAGGAAGGAAAGGAATGTCAAGGGGGGGGAAAAAAGGAGACATATGTAATACTCTTTTTAATACTTTAAGAAATAAAAATTATAATTAAAAAAAAAAGGAATCTGGCGCCCCTATGGCTCTCCTGCGGGAACAGAGCTGGAAAAGCAAAGTTTCCCAAGGAGGTGGGAGCGCAATGGGGACTCTCCCAGCTGGGGGAGGGGCGCGCCCAGATGCCCCCTACACTCCAGGGCTGGGGCAGGGCACACGGGGCGGGACATCAAGTGGTAAAGGTCCAGCAAATGCCCAGCCTACAGGCCGCCTGAGGAGGGGTGTCAGATGCATGAAGGAAAGGCTTAGCATCTCTGTCACTGCTTTGCTTTTCAGAATTCCCTGCTCCCCATCTGTTGGCTCCCTCCCTCTGAGGGCCACTGTCGTCCTCACATGGATGCAATTGAAATACTGTATCGAGAGAGGATTGCCCCAATGTACATATCCTTTTATCCAAAGGTGAAAAAAAATCCCAAAGAAGGAGACAGACTGCTGTCCGTTAGGCTTTAAAAAAACCCAAAAGTGTCCTGCGAAGAGCTGAGACTTGGTTCTGTCCACGCGCCTCAGAGAGATTGGATGAGGAAATGGCCTGGCTTGGCCCTGACTTTACCCACTTATGTTACTCTTGAAGGTGTCTTTGCCACAATGTGAATAAACTGCCACCTTTTGGAATAGGGGCTCATACAAAAGTCTGCATTCCCAACTTTTCTTGAAACAGATCTATGTTCTGCAGCTGTGGCCACCGTCCTGAGACCAGGTCCTGTCGCTGGGAATCAGGGGGCACTGGAGTGGAGGCTCCCCCCACCCTGTGCCCTTTTACATTCAGGGATTGAGCTGAACTCACATTGGGGGAGGCCTGGCAAGGGTGACAGGTGTCACAGATGGAAGGATGGAGAATGGAGAGGCGGACACCCTGCTTGGTCCCTCTCTGGGTGGGGTCAGGCAGATGAAGGCCAGCCAGCCCACCCCACAATTGGGTGAGATAGCATCCTCTGTGTCCACCTCTCATCCCATGGGCCCGGCCACTCCCCTCAGCTCTGGGCAGCCCTCTGTTCCACGACAGCATGCTCTGCCCTCACATGCTGCTCACCCTAAATGAGAAGGAAGAGAGCAGTTAGCCCACAGACAACTACACAGAAAGATAGGGCTCACGGCTGGTGAGCACAGTGGCGGTGGCAGGAGCCTCTCCTGCCTCCGTGGGAGCACTAAGGAGCAGCGAGCCGGGTGGTAAGGAGCAGTGAGCAGGAGGGCAGTAAGGAGCGAGGGGTCCTGGACTGGGAGAGGGATTTCCCTCTGGACTTCGAGAGGGTGCAGGCTAGGCTGAGGGACCTCCCCACCCCAGTGCACCAACTTTGTGCACTGGACCTCTAGTATTAAGTATAATGTCTCTGTCTTCAGCCAGAAGAAGATATAAAAGCTATTAACATTTAATTAAGAGAGCCACAATGTGCCAGGATCAGAGGAACTGAGTGAGGGATGAGGTCAACAGCATGGGAGCATTCCAGGCTAAGAGAATAATCCATCTGAACACTAGAAATGAGAAGTTATCTAACACATTCTTTCGAACATCAATGCGTAGGCTGCAGTCAAGTGGTAAAGAGCCTCTTAGGCCAGACTAAGGTGTCCAGAATCTTAAGGCAGACTTTACTGGAGGACTTCTCAGAGTCTTTAATATACTAAAATGCAATGTTAATCTTCTTTTTGTTGGAGAAGTATCTAGAATACAGGTGCATTCTAGAAATTTTAAGATTTCACATATGAATATGAGTTTCCAGATTCTCTTAAGATTTGAAACGTTTGGCAACAATGTACCCCTAATTCAGCTCTCAGTAAATACACAGATAGGCAGGCACTGAATTCACTACAGTCCCTTCCCTATCACTCCAGAACTTGGCTTCTAGAAGCATTTAATTTAGCTACCTTTAAGAGAGAGGCACTGTAGGCAAAGCCAAGGCAAAGATGCAGAAGGTACAGTACTTGCATAACGTTTACTGAATTAACTTGAGGCTAACACAAAAACCCAGGTAAAAAGTAATGAAAGCTTGAACTGGGTAATGGTAGAAAGCAAGGAGGGTCGCACAGGAGCCAACTAGAAAAAGTTTCCACTGGCTAAATTCTGGACAATTTGAACATCAGAATAAATGATAATGATAACAAACTGTAGCCCACTGAATAAAACTGGGATCTTTAATTTTATACTAAAATCCTATATAATAAAAGCCCAGGACCAAATGGTGGAACGACCAGAATGACCAGTCAACCAGTCGCTATGACATGCACTGACCACAAGGGGGCAGACTCTCAACGCAGGAACTGTCCCCTGGTGGTCAGTGTGCTACCATAGCGGGAGGGCCACTCAGCTGACCAGGATGAGCGGCTGTTCCTGATGCAAACCCTGGGCCAACAGGCAGGAACCCCTCTTCAGCCACAACATTCTCTTATAAGAACCTAGTGGCCCGCTGCACGAAATTTGTTCACGGGGGGGGGGGGTTCCCTCAGCCCAGCCTCCAATCGGGGACCCCTTGGGGGATGTCTGACTGCCGGTTTAGGCCCGATCCCTGTAGGATCGGGCCTAAACCAGCGGTCAGACATCCCCTGAGAGACCCCTGATTGGAGTGGGTGCAGGCTGGGCTGAGGGAACCCCCCTCCGTGCACGAATTTCGTGTACTGGGCCTCCACCTGCCTGCCTGCCTGCCTGCCTGATCGCCCCTAACTGCCTCTGCCTGCCTGCCTGATTGCCCCTAACCTCTCTGCTTGCCTGCCTGATCACCTCTAACTGCCTCTGCCTGCCTACCTGATCACCCTTAACTGCCCTCCCCTGCCGGCCTGATCTCACCCCTAACTGCTCTCCCCTGCCAGCCTGATCTCACTCCTAACTGCTCTCCCCTGCCAGCCTGATCGCTCCTAACTGCCTCTGCCTACCTGATCGCTGAGGTCCGGGGTGCAGATGAATGGGATTCCTGGCTGGCAGGCCACTGACAGCAAGCTATCCAACGGCCGATTCTGTGAGGCATGGGGCTCCCTCCTCCCTCCCGTCAGGGTCTGGTTTGAAGGCCGGCCACGCCCCCAATCACGCGAGACCAAGTTCCACTGCTCCCCGGCCAGCCAGAGCCCACAGCCCCCTCAGCAGTCAGTGCTGGGTCACCGTGGCGCCCGTGGGAGCTGGGGGGGAGGGGGGGGGATCGAGAGGTCAGCAGTTCAGCCCACTCGCCAGTCCCCGCCCACCCAAGCCTGCTGGGTGCGCAGCCTGGCGTTCGGTCGTCCATTCGGTCACTTTGAACATTACAGACCCTGGTCTTTATATATAGAGATTCTGGTGTTTACTTTTTCTTCAACTACCATTGAGGAAACTGATTTGGATACAGCATTTCAAGTCACCTCTACTGAAGATCATATTTTTAAGAGAACTGAAAGACTGGAATGAGAAAAACAAGGAACAGAGGTACTGGTCATGTACCCTAAGGAAGAGAGAGAAAAACACACACAAAATATTCTATCTGTATGGGGCTTTG